CACAAAATACGCGGTTTGGTCGCAGTGCACTTGTGTCCACCGTGTTCGCGTCACAATATTAACAATGAACAATACCTCGCCTCGCAGAGGTACGTCCAGTTGGGAGGTTTCCCCCCCGTGCCACGCTTGATTCTCAAAAGCCACAGTTTCCGTCTCCTCTGGGATTCCGGCAGCTTCAACAAGCTAATTCCCCTGGAAGCTCTGTTCCGGCACTTCAACGCACAAGAACTACCCATTTTTCAGACAAGACCGCAACTCCCGCGGCTACACAAACTTTTTTTTACGTCATTTAAACGCACATGTCCGCGTGTTCGGTCCTCTTCGATTTGGTTGGCAGGGTTTCGAGTGCACATTCATTTATTCTACCATTAAAGAATGCTATGACGAAAAGCTCACATGCACCAAGTTTTCAGTCACCAGGCACTTAACTTTTCTAACTCTAGCGACGCTAAAATGAATTTACCGAACCCTGCTTTACCTGTAACGCTCACGACCACCGCTAGGGGAGGTTTTGCGGCTTCTGATTGGTGACGAGTGGCCTGCCAATCAACTTTCCGGCCAATAGCGCTCCCCGATTTTCACCCCATTGATACCAATGAATGGCCAAACTCCTAATATATGGCTCTGGTTTCACAGAGTGTACATGATTGTACACAGTGTGTCTTCAGGGGTACAAACCACATTTGAAGAGTAGATAAATTTGCTAAGTCCCGTACACAAATGTGTACACCATGTCTGGAGGGGATATTTTGGTTTTTGTTTCGTGGCTTAAAGAAGAAAAAAAATGTTTTTCTCTCTTCCATGTCTCCAGACCGCTAATGGCTGCCGCGAGCCACCGTGCATATTTTTTACGCAGCGAATCTACAATGGACCGGTTGAAATACATAGAGCGCCAGCAGCAGGGGATTGTGGGAACCCTTCGCACAGATCACACACTTTCTCGTTGCGTCTCTGTGACTGCGCGTGATTCATGGCAGTTTCACACACCCCAACCCCACAATTAGTGGTACCGTGAGACCACGTGAGCAAACGAAATGCTGACGACGTTTTTTCTCGTTAAACCCGATCTGTAACCTCACGGCATGAATCGTGAGCATTTCTGGTCCTGACGCCAGCTCTAGGCGCACGTTAGTCTTGTGCAGGTTAGCTTTCTGCTCTTTGCATCGTTCAATCAGGTAGGCCCCACTAAGCGACAGACTCGCACTGGTATCAATCAGTGCTGCCACAGCTATTCCGAGCACTGTAACTGCCATACGAGGCTCAATTAACTCAGGGTCAGGATGGATTAGACATACCAATTGAAGTTTTGCCAGGTTGTCCATGGTCTCTCTTTTTGTGATCACATCTCTTTTTGTGTCAACATCTCTCTTCTTGTGATCAGCATTATGTTTGCATCTTTCCAAGCTTGCGGTACCTTTGAGGTTCTTAGGCATCCCGAGATCTCTGCCAGCTTTTTTAGTACAATAGCAGTAATTAATTACCAACCACACTTGAAGCATACAGCTGATCAGCTAAAAAGTGGACCGGACAGTTGTACATTTGGTATAGCTTGCCAATGAGAAAAAATAAATAGCTTGAGCAACTATAAATAGCTGGTATTGCTGGACCAGTCCTTTTAGTGTTGAGTTTACCTCGCCTGTTTGTACCCACATTTCAGCATCAACTCACTTCCACCTTTAGGAAATACCAGGGGGTAGGACGTTCATCCCGAACAAGTTCCCACCTTGAACAGAACGTCTGTAATTGGGCTTCAAGGCGGGACAATGATCACTGAAAGCATTGCATGCCAACGCTTGCAATCCGAAGTCAAGTAAAAAGGAGGCTATTTCTTTGCATTTTTCATTTTTTTACTTTTGGGGTTTAGATTTTAGGAACTGCAGGAAATCCCACTGCAGATCATTGGACTCCTGCACAATTGCAAACTGACGCTGCCTTTCCCTGTGTGTCCTTCCTCTTGCTTCACGAAGCTCTTGCCTCTGTGCCCTTGTTCCTCAAGGACCAACATGAGAAGGTCCACCTGCTTGCAGGAGGGCTTTTTTTTTTGGGTGGTTTCTCTTGCGGTTTTTCAGGAAGATCCACCGTCTCATTCACATCCTGTAATTCCTCAGGGGAGTTGTCTTCAAGTTCCAGATAATAGCCATGTGCTTATCAGAAGGGCCCATGATACATGCATAACTTAAAAGGGTCATGCAGCGGTATTGGGTTTGAATGTTTCTCACCTTGCACCTAAATATTGTACCTAGCACGACCCAAGCATACTCGAACGCGATGCCATGAATCCAGAACTTGTGTTGTCGCGTTTTAATTGTAATGTAAACAGCATACTACTGTTTTCAGTCTCCGGTTCGAAAAGCTTGATGATTCGGACGTACCCTTTGCTTGTGATGACAATTGGAGACGACTCAACTTCAGCTCGTGACAGTGAAAGCCTCGGCGAGCATTCGGGCAGTGACTCGTTTTTAATCAAAGAATGATGAAAATAGTCAAACTTTAACAATGTGTTGAGCTCAGCACATTGTTAAAACTAAAACAGGATAGAAGAAACAGAACGTGCATGAATGGCGCAGACTAACGAGTCTAATTTCTTTCTCCTCTTTCTCCCCCACACCATATTTTGAAAAATTATTGTGGCTAGAAAACCCCATTATTTGGTGCCTTGCTTTTTTCTGCTTCCGATCTCAGTGGTGTTCGCAATAGCCGCCATAGACATATGAACCTGATGGTGAGCCAGTCTCCGCTGCATTTACCTAGGAGCTGTGTTTTGTTCCAACATGCTGTGGTACCTTCTTTAGTAGCTCTACTTTTTGTTTCAAAGCTGTTGATGGCACGCTGACGCACGTTTTGTGTTGTTCTGAAACCATATGTAAAGCCTCGATGGTTTTGCGTGTCGTCCTATCTTAAGATCTGGCCAAAATAAAGTGGCTTTAGCGGAGCTTCGCAGCTGCATTTTGTAGAATGCCCGGCTAGGTTGCCTGGTGCTTGCAGTTGACCGCATGCCTGTTTGTGTTCTCCGAGTCGTTCGTTTACACATCTTCCGGTCTGCCCGATGTAGGATTTGCCGCACGTCAGTGCTATCTTGTGTATCACCCCTTCAGCACATTCAACAAATTTGCGTTTGTGTTTCACTTGACACAATGTCTTGCCCTTCGTTTCGTCCTCCAGTTTATTTGCTTCTTTGCATAATCCTTTGAGCTTGAAAGGGGCAGATAATGCCACCCTAACTTCAAAATTTTCGGCGATCTTTATTTAATGTCAGAAATTGTGTATGTACGGCAGTACCACCAGTGGCCTTTTGTCCACAATCTGCTCCATGGTTTTGCTTTTTCTGTGAGATTGGAAATGTATTTTTCTGCGTCGGCGACCAGTGAGGGTTCTGGGTAACCGCTTGCACTTAGTCTGCGTGTCTGGCTCCCGAGGTTTTTTAAGACTCCGTGGTGACATGATATTTTTTGTATAGCTTGCCAGATGCGTCCTGATCCAACACTTTTCTTGACTAACTTGGTGTGTCCGGAGTCATACAGCAGTACTCCTTTCTCACCTCTTGTTTTTGTACACCCAGCACATCTGTGTGTTCTCGAAAGTCGTGTTCATGTCCAAGCATTGTTGGCTACCTCCCTCAAGTAATTCAGAGGTGAATTCAAGTCCTTTGTGCGCCTCTCGGAACTTCTTTATGATCGTAAATATATAATTATGACAGTGCGAACTCTGTTTTAACTATATGTTAACTATGCACCGCCGACTAGCCCACGTCCAAATATTACTTCTCCATGATCTTTGAGCATGATGTGTCTGTCATTTGGTGTATTGGGAAACAAACCAAAAAATAGACAACATATCGGAAGCACCTGCTGACTCCATTCTCCTGGAAAAACTGCTGTAACTCCGTTTCCTTTTACTATAAACAGGTCACATAAAGCTGGTGCTATGCAGGACCCTATGCAGATCCCTTCTTTTTGAGTGTATACATTATCTTTCAACGTGACATTTAGAGAACTTAAATAGGTCTGTAAGAGACTTAGCAAATCCCTAATGCTGATTCCGCACTCGTTTTGAAAACTTGAAGCCGAAAGCGTCGAAGCTCTTTTCCACTGCCTGTGTTGCTTTTTCCTGTGGAATGTTGTAAAACATGTCTTTCGTTTCTACCGAAAAAGCTGTGATGGGCTGGTGTTTTTTCCAAAATTCAATTACTTCATCGGAATTATGGACCTAGATTGGATCTTCAACTTGAAGTGGTACATGTTCCTGTATTTCCCTTGCTGTTACATGTGGCCAGGTTCCTTTGTCTTCCACTTTGACTTGTAATGGTCTGCCTTCCTTATGGGTTTTTACCACAATGAAAGGTGTCAGAAAAGGATTCTAGCTGCCTTTAACTTTAGCAATCTTAGTGAGGCCGATTGTTTCACAGTGTCGTGCCACTTGTTCTCTTGCGTTTTGCGATTTATTTTGCGATGGTATGTAAAGTCTTTACTACATCTAACTTGCAGAGTGCCCTTCTCATCGAGCCTACAAGGAGCTGACCGCTGGGATTTGTAAACGAATCTTAGCAAATGCTAAATTTCAGACAGCCTTTTTGACTAAATTATGTTATCTGCATAGCCACTTGTAATGTTATGCTTCGCCTGCTTGTGATCATTTCCCAGTTTGTATCCCACTTTATGAAGTGGGATGAAGATTAAGGAAAACAATAGATTATATTTTCTATTGGCAAGAGCTCACTTCGATAATTAAAAATATAAAGATTCACACAGATGTGCAAGGTACAGTTTGGTGACCATTTGTCTACATACCTCCTTGTTAGTTTTGTTTTGGTAATTATTACCGAAGATAGAAGACCCCTGTATTACACACAGTGTGGCGGCCTCACCATTGACCCCACCGTCAAATACAGTTGTGAAATGTTTAATTTCCTACTTAGCAGAATTCACCAGGCTGAAGGATGCCGCTTTCCATTGCCCTTCGAAGGGATGATAATGATAATGATAATATTTATTTGCACTCAGAAAGAGATGCCGGTGAGAGCAGAAAGACCGAGGTTCCATGCCAGAAGCCTGCAGCACCAAAAGGAGAAAAAAAAAATAAAGGAAAAGAAGGACGACTGGGAAATCCCTATTGTGAGTCGTGGCCGACACCGCGGAAGCCCCAAAACTAGTCAGCGGCGCAGGCGCCCCACTGCACCCTACAGTCAGTGGTCACGTAGGGCGCTCTGCAACACCAACCTGCTCGATGGTCCGCAGCCTCCGCCACAACCCACCCCAGGGCAAACCGGGATGCTACATTACACTTTCGGTTCATTCAGCACGCAGGTGTCTGGCGATGGCACTGCAGAACGTCCTACATTCATCCTTATTGTGGGGATGACCGCTTCCAGACATAGCTGTCATGGGCCCCACCAGTCATGCTGGAGTCAATGTAGCTTATGCGTGACTTTGGATCACACACCTGCAGAAGGCAGCACCGCAAGTTTTCTATATCATTCACATAGAATTCTAACACACTGATGTAATTATTATAGATTCAGCAATCCAAGGCAAAGCCTTTTCCATATTGCACATGCAGAAGGGAGGAATACCTTTTTCTATCAGTGCAAGCATTGTTGGTCCAAGTTAATATTGTGCTTTTCGTTCTAAATGACCTGTGTCTTCACCTGCGTATTTCTGTCTCGCATTTCATTTGCTCTACTGTAAATGACTATTTTTGTGGGCTCGATATTGAACATTGAGCATTGATTTTATTCCCGCCTTGAACGATGGGGGGATGCCAAGGAAAAAAGCTGTTTGCACAGCTTGAGGGCTGCAAAGTCAAGAAATTAAATAACAAATAATAAGATGTACACTATGAAAACTTTTATATAATGTTAGATGTACTAGAATTTTGTACACACAAGACAAAAATAATTAGGCGCAGATTTTTACAATGTTGGGTATGTCGCTTTTATTTAGTGAAGTGATGTGGAATCTCATTGATGCGATATGATTCAACAATTCAGGAAGTATTTGCTTGATTCTCTGATGTCCAAAATTAGTTCTTGATTGAGGAATTCGCCAAGGATGAATGAGACGGGTATGGTACAATGAGATGTATGGACGAAAGTCAGACAGTGTGAAGAATGTTAATGCTTACCACAAGTTGCAGCTTGGTATGTGAATATTAAATGCTGAAAGTAGATATCCGATACATCAGTTATAGAATATTTTTCAAAAAGAGGTAGCGATGGAGACATCCCAGAGACATTCGCAACAGCTCGAATAGCTTTCTTTCGTAAAACACTAAGTGTGTTTAAATTCGTCAAACCAGTAGATCTCCAGACAAGATGGTGGTTGTACAATAAATGTGCGTACAAAAGGAACCTTTAAAGTTGAAGTTTAACACTGGTGGGTAAAATATTCCCATATTTAGTTAGCACACTTGCTCTCTTGAAACTTTATTACGAATGTGTTGCACATGATCATTCCAGGACATATAAGAAAGAAACACTCCCAAAGTTTTAACATTATCTGTGTAAGGATTAACACCAGGGCCATAATTCAAAGCAAGGTGTAAGTCAAGCCGACTACCTCAATAAAGGTGAAATATTACGGCCTTACTTTTGTCTGTATTTAGGCAAGAGACTTATTTTCGCATCACAACTTAAACTTGCACAGAACATTGTTTGTCTTAGAAATAACAGTTTCAGAATTTGTGCCGGAAATTATCATAGCCGTATCATCTATATAAATAATGAATTTGACTTCGGTGCCAATAGTAACTATGTCATTAATATAAAAAGAAATAAAAGAGGTCCTAGAATGCTGCCTTGTGGCACTTCACAAGAAATTTCAACTAAAGATGACTTATGACTAGGGTTTCATGTTTTCGGAGTTTATTTTTTGTCAAATTTGGAGGGTGTTTTTCAAAGTTAATTTTTTGCCGAAAATTAAGAGTTTATCGGAGTTTATTTTTGTTTGATTCCCAATTCTCCGAAATTCAGAATTTGATTTCGCTGTGTTTCTTATTGAAAAAAAATGAAAGCCGCTTACAACTCCCTGTAACGCCGAATAGAGCGCAGCTCTTGAGGAGGAGGAGGGAAGGGCACTGGGGGGGGGTTAAACTAACCAGGGGGGGGGGTCACGTTACCTTGGGGGTCACGTGACCCCCAATGCCGATGATGTCATCACTGACGTCACTGATGACGTCATCAGTGACGATGACGATGCGGGTACCGATGACGTCATTAGTGACGTCACTGATGACTTCACCAGTGATGATGACGATGACGATGCGAATGTCGGTGACGTCATCAGTGACGTCGCTGATGACGTCATCAGTGATGATGACGATGACGATGCGGATGCCGGTGACGGCATCAGTGACGTCACTGATGACGTCATCAGTGATGATGACGATGACAATGCGGATGTCGGTGACGTCATCAGTGATGATGACGATGACGATGTGGATGCCGGTGACGTCATCAGTGATGATGACGATGACGATGTGGATGCCGGTGACGTCATCAGTGATGATGACGATGACGATGCGGATGCCGGTGACGTCATCAGTGATGATGACGATGACGATGTGGATGCCGGTGACGTCATCAGTGATGATGACGATGACGATGTGGATGCCGGTGACGTCATCAGTGATGATGACGATGACGATGCGGATGCCGGTGACGTCATCAGTGATGACGATGACGATGTGGATGCCGGTGACGTCATCAGTGATGATGACGATGACGATGTGGATGCCGGTGACGTCATCAGTGATGATGACGATGACGATGTGGATGCCGGTGACGTCATCAGTGACGATGACGTCATCGGGGGGTCACGCGACATCGGCGGGGGTCACGTGACCTCGAGGAGGGGGCCACGTGACCTCAGGGGTGTCACGTGACTTCGGGGGGTCACGTGACCCCCCACGAGGTCACGTGACCTTGGTGGGGGGCTCGCGCGGTGCATTATGGGACATTTCCCATGATGCACCGCGCGGTTACGCCGACGCCGACGCCGACGCCGACGCCGACGGCGACGCCGACGCCGACGGCGACGCCGCTCAAGCCGGAAACGGGCCCCTAAGAGCTGCGCTCTAATAAATAAATAATATGTGGGTGTAAACGTCTCGTCCCGGCTCAGCTTGGCTACCGAGAGCTGGGACCGCATTGAACCCATATCGCGTCTTGCTCACGCCATGAGGTCCCCCTCGAGGGGCGAGACCAGAATCCAGGGCGGACTGCACCGGCCGTCCCGGGCCCAGCATTGGGCAACGCTGCATCCTGTTCACGCTTTAGCTGAGGTGTCACAACATAGACAGCGACGTTTCGCTAATGGGGGCCCTGTCTCCTAGAAAGGTCACGGCGCAGCTCTCTGGAATATGCTGTATTCAAGTCATCACGGCATTCGTGCAGTTAGACTGCGTCATGTGCCACTGTATCTTCCTCATGCTCATCGCACTGTGGATGTTCATCAAGTAAGTGTCCAAGCGGATAAGACTGCTGACTGGGCGAGTTGGTAGTTCATGCTGATTAACGTTACAGCACACCAAGCGGTCTGTGGTTCGATGGAACGCCTGGTACGGGGACCTACAGCATAGGAGACACACCGCAATATCATTTGATTTTGAAGCTCTTTATGTGCCGGTGATGATGCCAAGACCAACTTCCTTTGACGTTCCTGCAGCTCGTTTCGAATTGGTATACAACAATCCGCCAGAAACGTGCCTTGAGGAAGTGAAACAGACTTTGGCAAGTTCAGTCCGGTTTACTGATATTGAGCCCAGCATCACAGAAGCCAAGGGTAGTCCGCCAGCTTTCCGGCAAAGCGACATGAATGAAACAAAGAACAGGTCCCCTCTGCTCACCCCTCTTTCCGACAACGTTAAGATCGACGACTAGTCACACCCACGTCCCCGACCATATCTCCACACACGTCCTCAACACAGCGTTGGCACGACGAAACACGTGAGAAGCAGATGACAGTGCGAATGAAGCTCGCCCAACACCAGGGGCTGTGGTCTCCCCACTACCTGAGCCCGAGTCATGCCTTCAAACCTTTCCTGGGCCCTCCGGGCTTCTTCGCCGCTCCCCCGGTACCTACGTTGGGGCCCTGCACGGTCTCGGGTCCCCCCAATTAGTTGTGCCGACACTTGAGCCTAGGCTCATTGCGGAATCACGGGGACGACGAGGACAGTTCCGCCGAGGACAAGAAGTAGTGCGAAGGTTGTCTGTTTTCCTTTCATGATCGGACATGTCTTATGCAAGGCCGAACACTGGAGCAGGACCAGTCCTCGATGGACCTTGCACACTGCGGTGATATTCGTGAGTGCTTGTCCGACTGTTTGTGTGTGAGATTGCGACAGTGAGTGGGGATTGACTTTCGGACGGAGAGCAGTTGATCTCGTCGTCTGTGTTGGAAGTGGTGCATCCTCCGAGACGAAAGAAGTTAGTGTCAAAATCTGGACGTGTAAGGCGATCGTACAGGGTTCTTCCAAAGGAAAGGATGCAGGATGCCCTGATTAACTACTTCAGTCGTTTTGGCGGAGCAGTGGACACCATGGTGATTTGCAACGAAGCTTGAACACACGCTTCCCCCCACACTAGCTCACGCGGCCGCGTGAGGTAGTGTAGTAAATGATGTAATAGAGAAGTTTCAAATGTCCCTCTTCCCCACTTCATGCAATCTCTATGGTCCACAGCTTTCACTCTTACAAAAACACAACCTCTCCTTCCTTGACTTTTGTAGTGACCCGAAAGTGCAATGACCTGTTTTGTGCTGACCGAAATTTGAAACAGAAGTGTGTTGGCATATTCCCAAGACCATTGACTCTACGCGCTGATCAAACCATTGATTGTAATATACTTTTATGTATGTCTGTGTGTTTGGGAGGGGAGGATTGGCACATCGAAATTGTTAGTTTATCGGATAACTCCAAATTGACCAAAATTTTACCGGCGGATGTTTTCAGAGTTTTTCGGTATTATCTGAAAACACTGAACCCTACTTATGATTATTTACGGAAACATATTGTTGCCGGAACTGCAAAGACCTTAACAAGGAAAACGAAACTCCTCGAAAGCCATATGAATACAATTTGTCTAAAAGAATGTCGTGATTGATACAGTGAAGGCTTTGCTAAAGTCTAAAAATTTTAGACACCAACAGTTGCTAACTTTTTTCTAATCTGTCAAGTATAGTCTCCTGGTGTAAAAGTGCGGTCTTGGTTGATCTAAGTTTTCTAAATCCAAACTAACATTGTGTTAAAAGATCATGTCTTGCTGAAAATTTATAATTCTGGAGTACATAATCTTTTCTAAGCCTTTTGAAAAAACAAGAAGTATAGATATATGGTGATCGTTCCCCAAACTGTTTCCATCTCCTGATTTGAACAATGCAGCGACTTTAGCGATTTGCATTTTATGGGAAATATGCCCAGATGAAAGAGCAAACTTCTTAGTGAGCGCGTTGGTAATGATGTAGGTTTAGAAAGAGTTATATAGGTAAAAACAGGGGACGGGACAACACATCTTTCAACTTTCAACAAACAAATGAATTTATTGCCGTACGCTTCGCCTTCGGAGCTCCACTATAGGAGAGGGAAAGTTAAAAGGAGGTTAAAAGTTGAAAGATGTGTTGTCCCGTCCCCTGTTTTTACGTATATAACTCTTTCTAAACCTACATGAAAGAGCAAGATTATGAAGATCTGTTACAAAAAACAAAATGAGGTCAGGAACAAATTTTATTGGTTTAATATTATGACTATCAACATCGGTACTAAAATTGTTTCGTAAATTTAATATGGTTGAGTATACTTCACGTTCGTCGGGAGGATGAAAAAAGATAGATTTGCGAATTCTTGGTATGTTTTTAGCTGCACCACTACAATAAGTTCCCGTGCCAGTGCGAACAAAATATTTATTAAGCTCATCTGATAATGCAGAGCCACACTTTTCTCTACCATAATAATAAGCTTTCCTATATATTTTAGGCGTCTTGCCTGAAAGAGCAGGAAGTTTCTTCCAAAGCAAGTCGGAGTGCTTCATGAATTCAGTCAAACTGTTGCATGTAGTAGACGCGCTTTCCACGTCTTAAATCCGCATTTAGGCGGTTCCTGAAGGATTTGAATTCCGCTATCTTATCAAGGTTCCTTGTTTTTGAAAATGCAATGTATAGGCTACTTTTCATACGCATCGATTTCAGATGATCCTCAGTCACCCAAGGCTTACAGGCTCGTTTGTTGGTTCTCAATGTTTTTAAATGGAAAGATTATGTATACAGATTTATGACAATTTTAATGAATATATCGTAAGCTTCATTAACATCAGTTTTTCTTGTATGTTAC